TCTCACCCCATCCCACAATGTTAGTTAAACCAGAAACAATACTGCACATACTGTGTGTGTGCTGGGTTGGAGAGTGGGGAGGGAGCGATAGGGGAGTGGTAATGACAGAGATTAGTTACACCATCAAGGATGTAAAGGATACCAGGTTGGTGGTCCCCTTATATTTCTGTTTATCATTCTGGTCCATGCAGAAAACTAGAAAGATCCTAGAAGATGATTGTAGATGTGAAATCTCAAATAAGTAATGCCTCCAATCATAGCTGCTGTGCCAGATGTGTTGACTTTGCTAGAGTAGATTTACATGGCCTTGAGTATGGAGTATGTAGTCATGAAACTTGCTGCTCAGCTGTATAAAATACAATCTGCAGATAGCCAGAGTGTCTTCAGCATCTGCCTCAACTGCAGGAAACTGTGTGATCTGAGGTTAAATCTTTTGGGGGCAGCCTGCATCTCATTACTGAACAAAGGGAGGCATAAAGTCCAGGCCTTATCATCCTGATGCAGCATAAATATGATGGGCAAAATGCACTCCAGATATCTTCATCAAGTAGGCCTATTTGTTCTCCCTCTGACCAATAATGCTTCCTACCCATTTCTTTCACATTTTGATACTAAAAGTACTCTATCATATTGTGATTCTTTATCCCTGGCATTCATTTTTATTCCATAGGTTACATTACATGAAATTAATATAGCTGCTTCATTCTTCTTTTGGTTAGTACTTGTATATCTTTCTTCATTGGTTCATTTTTTAAATTGAATTTTTTATTGAGATCATTGCATAGTTATACATAATTTTAAAAAACAATACGGAAAAAGCCTGTGTAATATTTCCCAATTTCCTCCAATGGCAACATTTCACAAAAGTATATTACAATATCATGACCAGGGTATTGAGATCGACACAATCCACTGATCTTATTCAGACATTTCTAGTTTTACTTGTACTTATTTGTGTATATGTGTTTTTTATTATACATAATTTTATCATATGTATGTTTCTACACTGAACAGTTCCATCAAAAATATTTCTCTGCATTTTCTTTTTATAACTAAATCATCCTCCCTCCATCTCAATTGCTAATCCCTGGCAATTATTAACATGTTCTCTATTTCTATTTATATTGTATATATAGTTTCAAGTGTTTCTGTCTCCTACTTATGCTAAAGGTATGATTTTTGGTGTTGTTTTAATGATGCTTGCAGCTGTATTTTGTTTTGGAAGATATGTGAAGACTCATAGTAGGCAGCCACGTTATACTCAAGTCACCATTGTCCTGAGAGACTTAGAAGGCTCTCCTCTCTGCCAGCCCCACCCTCCCACACTTAAGAAAATGTTTGCACAGTCTGTTTTGTATGGAGAAATGGAAATTATACAACTTAACACATTAGTTACTTATTTCCCCAAATCATGGCACCCAATTTAATAATATTTGAAATAGCAGTTCACCTTTGATCATAAAGGATGCTTTTACTTTCTTAGAGAGCATTTTTTTCTGTTTTATAACCAAAATTATCTTAAATGGCATTGTTTCAGATCGACTATCCTGAAATTTGGTGAAGGAGTATTTTAAATAAATATACATCAAAGGAAACTTAATGTAGTTATTAGTAATGACAAAATGAAAAAATCTTAATGAAGTCTCAAAATTTGTGTGGCACTCAATAGTACTCAAAAGTACTATTACCTAAGTACTTTGCATCAATTGGAATGAAATTCTTATAAAACCAAAATAGTAGATATTTTACTTATGATCATAAATGTTATCCATAGTAAAGAATATAGAATGGTTTTCTACCTACTAGCAAAGTAGAATTACTGGAATCATAATTATTTAAAAAATGGAGAGTAACATATAACTGTCATTCTTTATAATTCCCATCCTTTTTCTTTCAGAAATTCTTATCACAGCATCCAGAGCAGTAACTACGTAGATACTGCTTGAATATCGACAGTGGGTAGAAGCAAAGAGATATTAGAACAGTCACTGTTATATTTCCAGTTTCAATGAAAGATCTCAAAATGTTATCTTTACATTATCATATATATAGACTATATATGGACTATAGACCATATATGGACTACATTAGGGAATATATTTAATGTGAAATTTTATTTATTTGAATGATCCTTTATTTGGTTTCTGTTGTTATAAAAATCAGAACAAATATGTCAAATCACTACTTATATTGAGAAATGATATTTAGTTATACAGATAATACTGTTTAGATAAATCTGATTTTTGAGTCATGTAATAATTTTCTTGAGAATTCCTAGCATTTTCAGGAAGAGATACCCAGTATGGCAGGCATGTAAGCTGCATAGCGTGAATAAATGCAAGATAAAAAGCTGGGTCATAATTTTGATGTTATGAAATCTTTGTATTCTGTTCTAGAACTATAGATATAAAAGGAGATTAAATAGTATGTATTGCTATATAAACATAAAGTGCAATCATAATTATTCATCACACTTTCTTTCTTTACCAAAATCTAATTTGACCTCTCAGAAATGTTCAATTGATGTGTCAGATCAAATTAAAGATAGATCTTCCAGGCGCTTGATATGAGACTAGAAGATATCTAAAGTTCCTTCTAGTATCATTTGTATATAAAATATTGTTGTTACTTTACAATAATCCTATGACATGCAATTTTTGAGGCACATTATTTTAAAATATCTGTAAGCTTTTTAGGAATTAATTATTTCTTCTGAAAAACTCACCTTGTAACCTATTTGGCAGCAATTAACTTTATTACTGGATGATTAATTTCCTCTTAAAATAAGAGAAATTTTCTCTTTTACATTTTTCTTAAGATATCACATTAGTATGAAACACATTCATTATGTTTGAATAAAGGAGTAAACTGGAAGTTTATTTCCCTTGTTCAATTCATCATATATTTTGCACAAACAGCATATATTTTGCACAACTTTACCTAACCCTGTTTAGGGTATAAAAAATGAATGCAAGTATTACTAGCATCAAAGATTTTTACATTCTTAAGGCTAAAGATATTATAAGAGCTTGGGATGTTAAAAAATGTGAAGTCTCATCTTTCTTATGACGAAAAAAAAATTGCCCAAAGGTGTGTCCTATCCACATAGAAAGTAAAGGCTTTTGTAGTAAGGACTTTTTCTAATAATTTTTTTTATTTCAACATATTATGGGGGTACAAATGTTTAGGTTATGTATATTGCCCTTGCCCCACCCGAGTTAGAGCTTTAAGAGTGTCCATCCCCCAGACGGTGCACACCGCACTCATTAGGTGTGCATATACCCATCCCCTTCTACTCACTTCTGTCTGCTTGACTTTTCAAATAATCATTTATTTAAAAATTATACTAAGAAATTTTTCAATAATATTTTAAATGGGCTTTTTGATCATTTCGATTTTTAAAGTCTGAAGACAAATGATAAACCTGACAAATAAATATATATGTTAGTGTTTTTAAATGCTTTCTGTAAACCAGAAAAAAAATCTTAATCATTTACATTTTTTCTGCTAAATGTTTCATTGGAAAAAAATAGTACCCAGCTATCTTCTGGTGTACTTACAAGCTTATGTTACATAAGTAAAAACAGGCAAACACAACAAAGAAAAATCCTCAACCAAAAAACACAATGTTTACAGATTAAACTTTGTGTGTATATACTATAGTAACAGAAGATTTTTAAAAAGAGGCCTTCCTATAATGTGTGTGTGTTTTCCAAAAATTCTAGGACTTTTTTTCGTAGCAATATGGATAGCATTTTCAGATTACCCTTTAGTAAAGTAAGAAAGCATATCCGGTCTAGGAGCTTTGACAAGAGCTGTCTGAGTACCAGCAGAAAAGGACATTAGTAACCAAGATATATCATTTACCATGTGGCCTTCTTATGGCTCCTGTCAAGTTATAGCATAATCTGAAGAAAATCAACATCATTTAAGGTTGCAGTGACCTTCTGAGGGCTTGCTTTTAAGAACAGAGGTTAGATGGCACAACTGTATGAGTCACTGGATATGACTGTACTCAAGCAAATTTTATACAATGTCATTTTCCTTAAACTCTGCTTATGAGTTCAGTGTCTATAATATAATTATTTAATATTTTTAAAGAATAAAATATGTCTGTTACAATGTCTGGATTTTTAAACATTTTCTGATTTAATTTTCTGCATAAAGTTAATAAAAACGTATGGGCATAATACCCATTAAAATGTCAGCCTCAACACCATAGGGACATGATGAATAACTTAATAGAATCAACTTCTTTGTATGTTGTTATTTTTTAATGAATTGAAACAAAAAGCATTGGTCATCATTTTAACACTTTGATACAAATCATAGTTGCCTCTCATGAGGAAAATGTTTGATGACATATCAGAGAACAGGGCAATAATTCATAGTGACCTTGACAAAACATGTGACTTTTATAGGATTTGAAATGACCAAATAGGAGTAGTAGTGCCCTAGAGCAAGCCTAGAATGAGAGTTTCCAGTCAAGACAGTAGAAACAAAATGCATACAATCTTTTTTTCTTAGAAATCTTGGAAATGAAAATAATATCTGAAAAAAATTATAATATGAAATAAATAGTACTAGAGACAATCCTGAAGAGAAAATTAGGTACTAGAATTTATAAAGGAAGATGTACCACAGAACATATCAAAAAGATTAAAAATATGACAAGTACTGAAAGTTGAAAGGTATGAATAACAAATTAAGAAGTTTCTATTTTATCTTAGAAGAATTTTGGGAAAAACAACTGTACATAACCAGAGAAAAGAAATATTTAGAGATAATATTTAAAATTTTTCAAGAATTTAAAAAAACTTAAATATCAAAATTGAAAGATATCATTCACTGAATAAGACTTAACAAAACAAAAAAAAATCACATTTCTTGACTATGTGTTTAACTTTATGTGTGTTGTTTCTTTTTCCTAATATATCTGGGACATTTATTTTAACTTTTTGAAATCCTATATCACCTTCTATTGTACTTAAAATTCTTACCTGGTCCTCTCAGAAAGGATTGTTTTTCCTTCTGTAGTCAGCTCTATCTTCTCCTCTGTGTATACATTTTAAATATTTTATGTTATTATCTTACTATACAAAGAAACAAAACTTATTTATGTTTATATTTGCCATATTTTTCTCTAGTAGTCTATTCTTAGTAACCCCTCAAAAAATATTTTATAAATAAAAAAGTAAAGAAATGAACCCACATAAAGTTCTTCAATTATTTCCAACCATCCAATTAGGCCTTTATTTAAATATTTGCTTAATTGGAAGACTTAACATTTTAACACTTTGATACAAATCATAGTTGCTTCTCATGAGTTACAGTAAAATTTGCTTAGTTATAATAAATAAAAAGCATTTCCTAGAAAGATTCTTGTATTTAGTGGATTTAATACAAATAAGGACTAATTAACAAAGTTTTATTTATTCTATGCAAGTTGAATACAGGAAGGATCATTCAATTATCTGTTATTATATGAATAACATAAAGAGATTTTCATTTAAATACTAAAAAAGGAGTAAAAAATTATGAATGCAGTGAGTTGGGTTAATAGCATATTATCCTTATATATATCCTTATATATATCCTTTTATATATATATATATATCCTATAATCCTTATATTAGAAATTGATAAACATTAAAAATAGAAATTTTAGATAAATTCTCCTATCAATAAACATTTGGAAAAGATCTGAAAACCATCTGTCCTTAATTGTCCTGGTGGGACACTTTAAGATTCTGGGTGGGCTTTTTCTGAGCTACAAGTATAGTATTCTATTATTTTATTTCTAAGCTGTGGTCCCATTGTCTTTTGTTCATTCTCTTCAGTTGGGTCCATTTCTCATTTTCCTATTATCGTTTTCAATTAAGTTTGACTACTCCATTGTGAATCAGTTTTCATTTAGTCATTTTATTCTCTTTCCTGTCATTATATTAGAGAATATTAGGAAAAGCCTAAGATCCTAATAATTAGATCATGCCTTTGTAATTGTGAGAGCTGTGAATCTCTCAGGTAAATATATCAAGAGGAAAAGATAATGAATAATATGGCTAACAGAAAATTTAGGATCTTAGGCTTTTCTGGTGACCCAGGAAATGTTCTCATAATATTGCAATGATCTTAGATAATCTTAGGTAATGCCTTTATGACATAGGACATGTTCTCTATTTCCATTCCTTCTGAAAAACAACTATGGTTATGGTTGGAATTTTTAGTATAAATGCTGCTTCTATAATAGCAACTCCCCTGAAAAGTTTGGCAACAGTTAGTGAGATTGATGACTAAGAACCATGAAACTATGTTGGAATCATTATCCTTTCTGAAACGTCAGGAACAATCATCTCTATCCTCTCATTATGAGTATTACATAATGGGAAGAATACAAAATTGGTAATCAGGTGGTGTAGATGACAATTTAGGCTCTGCCTCAAGTTCATTTTGTGACCTAGGGCATCTCTCATAAATCTCTAAGATTTACCTATTATATTGCAAAATGAGGGAATTAAATTAGACTGCTACTAAAACTCCCTTTCTAGTACATCTCTAAAATGTTATAAATCTAAAACATTTGTTAAGAATATATAAAAAATATATGTACTATTAAATGAAATAAACTACCATTTCACAAATAAGTGAATATTTGATCTGAATTCATAAATTTTGAATTCACTACATTTTTACTCCAGCTTATATTCATCAAAGGCTCATTTTTAATATCAATTAGTTTCTTTTAATTTTCATATCTGATAAATTGAAAGCCAACTATTTGGCATGCAGATTTTTTTCCAAAAGATCCAAAAGTGAATATTTTGCATATAATCTGAATAACCAAGATTTCCAGATTCTCTGTCTTTTAAATGTGTTAAAACGTTTTTAGCTCTGATGTGCTGTTTCACTGATACAAAGAAAGTCTAGTGCAAATAAACATTCAATTAAATGTTGCTTCATAAAATGACTGGCCTATGGTTATTTGATATATTAGAAAATACCACTTTCTATGGAAATTCCATATAAATACCAAGTAGGATACATTAATCTAAGACATGACTATGTGTCTTAGCCCCTGTAGTATTGCTATAAGAGGATACCTGAGGCTGGGTGATTTATACTGAAAAAAGGTTATTTAGCTCATGATTCTAGTGACTGAAGTCCAAGAGCATGACACCAGCATCTGCTTGGCTTCTGCTGAAGGTCATGTCCTGTTTCAAGACATGGCAGGGAAGCAGAAAGAGTAAGGGGTATGTTCAAAGAAAGGGTCCAAAGATGAGGAGGAATTTTGCTTTATAAAAAACCCACTCTTCAGGCAACTAATCTATTCCTGAAAGAACAAGAACTCACTCACTCCCATGAGATGATATTACTCTGTTCATGACAGATTCATCCTCATGACCCAAACACCTCTCACTAGGCCCCATTTCCCAACAGGGTTATATTGGCAATTAAATTTCAACCTGAGTTTTGGCAGGGACAAACCACATCTAAACCATAACAACTGTGAATATTTCAAGCTGATTTATTTCTTATTAAAAATAAGCCCTGAGTATAGAAGCCAGGGAGAAAGGAAGCAAATAGTAGGAAATATGGGGTTTCCAGTTACTGTAGGTGGTTAATTGTGTTGTCAACTTGACTGGGCCACAGGGTATACAGAAATTTCATTGAACATTATTTCTAGGTGTGTTTCTGGATGAGATTAACATTTGAATTTACAGATTGAGTAAAATAGATTGCTATCTCCAATGTGAGTGGGCCTTGTCCAATCCTTTGAATGCCTGTATAAAATAAAAGACTGAGTAAGAAAGAATTAACTCATTCTGCCTCACTTTCTTAGAGCTGGTATGTTGATCTTCTGCTTTTGGACTTGGACTTGGACTGGAACTATACTACCTATTCTTCTGGATCTGAATCCCCCAGCCTCCATAATCATGCATCCAATTCTTTATAATAAACACACACAAAATCAATCTTTCTCTCTCTCCCTCTCCATTCTATTTCTCTGGAGAATCTTTACTAATTCACTATATATCTGATTGGCTGACCACCATTGGATAAGTGATAGCATAACTCAGGAACAAGGAAACTAAAAATGGATAATTAATTGTTCCTTGAGAAGCATTTGTTGACCTAAGCATAGATATCTAAACCATTATGTAATTGTAGTGATCCAATATACGTATATCTGTTTCCCTTTTACACATATAGTACTGGCTCATCTGGAATGAAATCAAGTCTGGCAGTAAATAAAACAGAGTCATCCTATCTTAATTATGATAGAAGTTAATATTTATTTGAGTATTTGCTATGCGTGAGGCTCTGAGATAAACCTTTTTACAATTATCATATTTGACTCTTCAAAAATCCAATTAGTACTATCTACTATCGATATCTCTATTTTGAAAATAAGGCAGCTAAAATTTAGAGAAGATATACAATGTCCAAGTTTTTATATCTGGGAAGTAATATTATTGGTTCTTAAATTCAGGGATGGATGATTTTAAAGCCAATTTGTAAAATCAATATACTATGCATTTTGAGAATTAGATTTAAACAGGCAGAATGACCCAAGAGAACAAGCCTTCTGGGCTCACAGGATATACTTTGGCTATTATTTATTCAGCAAGCAATCTGTATTAGTTATCATTTGGATAATATTTTAGATGTTTTAATTTCTCTAAAACTACAGAAGCTCTTATAGGACAGAAAGCAGGAGTCCTTCCCTTTATTCCCAATTCAGGCTACCAAAGCTAGGAGGCAGGCCTGCTTTGGCTGTTCCACTGATCAATTTTTATTTTATAATATTTCATATATAAAGAACTCCCACATTATATATTTTTAAATTTCATTGTGTGAAAATCCAGAGTGGATGAACACATTGATTATAAATGTAGCAATTTTCAAAATAACATTTCTTCATGATTGAGGTAGAGTACAGATAGCAGAATGATATTTCCCCCTCATGTTTTTGTCCCTAAACAACCTCTACTTACAATTTAAGTATCAATTTTCTTCCTCTTCTTCGTTCTTCCATATACTGCCTGTACACAAAAAAGAAATTAAGTCAGAGGGAGACAAGGATAAAAAGGGAAATGATGTTTTCCATTTACTATTAAAGAAAAGAATAAAATTGAAGCCTTCCAAAGAGATAAATTGGGAGGATATTTCCTCTCTTTCAAACCTCATTTTAAAATTGTTTTTTAATAATTTTCCTTTTCATCATATGATTATCTAATAATAAATACATTTGGGTGACTATAACTTCTTCTAATAAGTGATGCTCAATATTCACATTTCTATAATTTAGCACAAGTCAATTCAATTTTCTCTTCTCTTTAATTCTACTAATTGCAGAAATATTTCCTTAGTAAGCGGAGCACGTGACCAGCTTCATCAATTTTACTCTTATTGCCATACGTTTCTCTCTAAAAAAGTAAAAAGCAGAATATACTTCACTGTATTTAAGTGTAAATGTTGTAAAAATAATTTAAGGAAATAGCTTTGGTAGCAATACATAAAGCTCTTGCTTCCAAATAACAACAGAGCTGTGGGAGAATTGGAGAGGAGTTCTTATTTGCACAGTAAACACAGTAATTATTTTCCCTGTGGAATTAGAAAGCCTGATACATATAATGTTTATTTGCCAGCAGTTTTCCTTTGGAAAACTGAACTTATTATCTTATTTGGATGAATATAGTGTCCAGAATTTTACCAGTGACAAGACTTAGATTATCTCTGTCCATAAAAACTATTAACTGACAGATAACCTCAAAAAGTGAAAACTATTACTCTATATAAACTGCATGTTATGAGAAAATGTATCAGTCTTCAAAAATATTTTAAAAAATTCTCCATGGATATTTTCCCATAAAATATATGTTTAAGTAGCTAAAGGAATTTTGATATATTTCTAATTAGTCATCCCTAGTGATAAAACATAAACATTTATGAATTATTTGTCCTCCTTGGGGAAGAAAATACATTTTATTTTACTTCATTATAGAAAAATTATTTGATTATAATTTATATAAACCTAAAATTTTAAAATTAAACAAAAACATACTGCATTTTAAAATTAATTAGAACCAACAGGTAATAGAAGATTTCAAAAGACATGGACATATTGACTTATTAGTGATAGAATTATTGGCTCTAGAAACTTTTTTTTCCTATCAGAGAGGCATCATAGCTAATATTTATAGATAAAATGTGATTTGAAAAAATCTTAAGAGTGTCTGGTTTATTTTTCTAAAAATATTTTTAATTTGTCCTAATTCCTAGACCAATAATGAGTATATATGCTGGGTGCCCATGCTTGTTGATGCATTAAGTTATATCATTCCAGAACAAAAATTTTGTTGTGTTTTAAGTGACCTGGTCCTCTAGTATTAATAATAAACTATTTACCTATTATATTTTGTCTTTTGTCATTACATTTTTTAATCTTTACTTAACAATGGTGAAGGAAACAAGAAATCATTTGTTAGCAGGGTACTAAGAAAATGAAATTGTGAAATAAATATAAAATAATATATGATAAAAATATTTATGTTGTCATTTAATTCCTATGACAGTTTCTAAGATGATTAACATTTATTGCTTACATGTTTTATTGACATATTTTTTGCTATACTCATATCAGAAACATGTAATATGTTTAGATTTTACTATTGTTAGTAACTAGCTCCCAATTTAAGACATGCATGTATCTTAAAGCCATGCCATTTTGATTTTTATTCAAGTATAATTTCCTGAAAGATTGACAGGTATTTTTAATAAGTGATGCTCAATATTCACATTGTAGTTAGTAAGGAACCAACACAGATGAAGTATCCACCATCTTTAATATATCCCTCTCTGCTGTAAAGAAGTCTCACAGAGGCAAGTAAATATCAGGCCTAAAAACAATACACAGAACTTATTTACCAGAACTACATGGAAGTAGCACACACAAAAGAGCCAGAAAATGCAAAGATACCATGTTTCCTGAAAGATGGAATTATAATATTTCTTGAGCATCAAAATGGCTCTACTTTGTTCATTTTTTTGTAATAACAATTTACATATATTGTATGTTAGTATAGCATAATGATTAAAAATGGTTATTCAAGAGCTGGAATGTTGAATTTTCAATTCTGGCTCTGCCATTTAACTAGCTTTAAGTTAAACTCTCTATTCTCTGGTTTTTGCATCTGTGTATTTTAATACTTTCTATAAAGTATGGTTTGGAATATTAAATATGGTAATACATGTAAAACATTCAGAACACTGTCTGAAAAGGGGGTTCCTGTAATTTTTGGAAATGTAGTATAAATCCTATAAACTTAAAATTCACAGCTGTATTAGATCTATGATTCACGTATACCTGGGGGTGTAAAATTATGTGAACTGTCTTCTTATCCCTGAATTTATGTGTATCTACAGATTCACATAAAGATCTCAGGGAAAGAATTTCAACTGTAACCATGTGTGGGCTCTGTTTTCCATAGGTAAATGCAGCCTGAAGAACTTTCTAAGGCAAACAGAGTTAAGGGCAAGTAAGGAAGGGAAGTTCAGACTCTGGCCTAGTAGCAAGGGTGCTTCCACAGTTCCTGTCAGGGAACTGCAATAAGTGAGAAGTGAGGACTTCATTTTTTGCTGCAAAGGTGGTGAGTAGTCTCCTGGTTCTATCTTTCATGGTGGCAACTCCCAAAGCAGTAGTAGCAGGAGAACTCTGATTAGCAACAATAAGGAAGTATCTCTTATTGCATTTACATGGTTTATAAAGAGAATATTCACAAAATTACCACAAGAGTCTTGCTATTGGTCTATATTTAGAAATGCCTTAAGCTTGTAATACTTTCTTAGCTATACTCTTAATGAGGACAAATTCTTCTTCTTATAGGAAATTTGATTTTTTATCCAAACTAATAACTTAATCACAATGTAGATGATTAAATATGATACTACCACTACAAAAGTAAGAGCTACTATGAAGTAATGGTACAACAGTTCTGTGATTCATAAAATAATATGGGAGATATTTCTTTTAAAAAGTTTTTTAAATGTTTTATATATGAGTAGAATAATTTCAAAATGTGATCTCTTTAAAAGTTAGCATTTGTTTGAAGATATAGATATAATATAATAGTATTTTAATGAATAAATTTTGCATATACAGTTTTATAGATTTATATATCAATTATACAATTATTAACTAAGCTATGATTTATGGAAGAATACCAAAGGGACTGATTATCTTAATTTGGCATAACAAGCCCACACAGATCTCATAAGTCCCAGTATATATTACATAAATTTTCTTAGGAAAAATCATATAGTAAAAAGAGAAGGCACATGGTCACTTGTCATTTAGCATCTATGACTAGGTCATCTGAATAAGAATTCCGTGCTCTTCATTTCAATTAGATTCTTAGACAAGCTATAAGCCATGTTAGCACTGACATTGATCTTTCATTCGTTGTTCCCTCCAAATATCTAAATAGGACAGTATTGATAAGAAAAAAAAAAACAAAAACAGCCCAAGGAAGTTAAAAAAAAAGTCTGATCAAGTCATCTGTTGCACTAAAGCAGGGCTTTTTGGGTACTCTGTATCTGGTGAATGGACCTATTGCTTCTTATTCTTAGCTCCTGGTATAAAACTGAACTATGTGTATGCTGCTGGACAGGTAGCTTTTTGGAGTTTAGAGTTTAGAGTCCTATTGAGAAGAACTCTCTTCATCTCATTTCAGCCTTCTTATAATACAAGTGTTAGGAATGACTTATATACATGAACTAAATAAAGCAAAGTTTAGACACCAGGGTATCGGGATATAAATATCAGCTGTGCATGAAAATTTGGGGAGCTTAGATGAAGTTGAGCTTAGATATAATGGCCATGTATCACTCAGTCTTCTAGAAAGTTAATATGTCTTCTTGGGCCCTTAGAGAAAGAAAAATTATCAAACTCCAGTCAACCAATTACTAGACAGCCTATCTTCTAGGGTCTCTTTAGGACCATTCTGCTTCTATCTAGCCACATATTTCACAGCCCTGCCTATGTAATCCAAAAACATCAGATATGATTCTTAGAATAGTCAAATTCTAGCACAATCAAAAAAATAGGAAAATGCTTAGAGAAAAAGTTATGAGGCATGATTATAAACATATATATGCATCTACCTAAAGTAGTAATATTACTTGAAATTAATGAGATAAAATCAGAAAGAAGAATTTGAAAATTATGTTTAAAATCTGAATGTAAATCAGGAAGAAATACAATTTTACTCTACAAAGAGTGATCCTTCACTTTTACTTATTTATATACTCATCCATTTATACATTCAGTCAAGCAATAATTAATTAATTCTTGAAGTTACAAAAAAATCAACATTATATTAAGCCTAACTTTGAGTTGCTTATAATCTTCATCAAGTTCTGGACTATCCTTGCCGTCTTTTTAGTGGCAAGTGTACTTTTAATTAGTGAAATCATGAGTGTCTTTAAATTTTAAAAGTGAATTCTCTGTGGCTGATAAGAGCTTTGGATTTGAGCTAATCAAGATCCTGGGTGTAAAATTCACATAGTGAATTAAGTTCTTTTTAATCCTGTTGGTATAGGTTGTTTTAAATCACTTATCACAGAGTTTATTCTTCAGGATGCCCTTTCTGGAGGATGTGAAGAGATCATGATTTAATATTCCTTAAAATATGTCAACTTTGAGTGGAGTTTCTTTCTGCAGAAAATAAAAGGATTAAAACACACCAATATAATACCAAAATCAATAGGAATGTCAACATTTTATTGATTAAATTGTCTAGCTAACTAAACCATTTTTTAAGTGCCTGTGTTTTATTTTTCAATGATTTCTTGTGGAAAACAAGAAATGTGTACACAAAACAAGCCTAAACTTATTAAAACATCATCCAAACTAAATTAGTGGAATGTACTAAATGTACTATGAAGCTTCCCTTGAGGAAGTATTAAGTCTTGCCATCAAGCCCTCCACTTTCTCCAATGAGAGAACAAAAATGCTCATGAATGCCTAGTATTAACCTACAGA